CATGCAAAAATTAAAACTAAACAAACTCAAATGGTCAGAGCCCTTTTTACAAATATTGTAAATAAATAAGGGGGACTTGTCAGGGAATGTTTAATAGGATTCCTACGTGCTGCTTCTCAGAAATCCTCTGTTCCTTATCAGTTTCTCTTGTCAGAAACCAGTGGAACAGCACCCGCTCCCAGGACTGAGGTCATTGGATGAGACAGGCTTGAATCTCCTTCAGTAAACATTCTCCTTACAAAACTGTTTAGTCTCCATCCTCTTTCTTGAGATATGTATTATCTCCTGACCTTGTGATCATTATTAATCCCTTGGTAACAGGTTGCTGTATGTTTGGTTTTCTGATCTTTATCATTATCGAAAGAAATTTCTTATAGAACAGCCTATATATACTCACAGAAAGATCATTAAAGCACCTTTGCTCCATCAGAGCTTGGGTCCCCCTGTCTTTCTTTCTTTCTCTCTCTTTCACTTTCTTAATGTTGACTCCAGACTGCCACGTTCTGGTCCATTAAACGACCCTGACAGATTCCAAAGCAATATATTCTTTAATCCTATAACTATTGTTAATACAGCTTTGTTTTAAATTTTTTAAACTTACCGCAAGGGGATATTTTGATAAAAGCAGAAAAAGATTTTGAGGCATTGAAGGATACCCTCCTTCCTCTGCCCATCTGTTATCAAGACGGGTTCACTCAACAATGGAAATCTGGAAAATTAATATTACAAGGAAAGGGGTATGCTTGTATTTCTCCAGATGGAACCAATGAAATCAGTTGGCTCCCTCTTCGGAAGATCCGCCCCAGGGGAGCTCCCGGCATTCAAGATAGAGAAGAAATGGCAAAATCCCCAGGAAGAGGAGTTTCTAGTACAAGCAATGGCGACTTTAAAAATTTGCAACATATGCCGCACTCGACGTCATCGACCTTATGATCTCCCCGCTCTGGGACAGATAAAAACCCTTACTAATTAAGCTGAAAACCTGGTTTCTCAACAGGGAATGCCTTGGAATCCAGAAAATATTTTTGTTGCTATGCTTGCTTTTGCTTCCCCCGTGCAGGCTGACTTGATTAATCACACTTACTGGGCTTATATACCTAACCCCCCTTTATGGCAGGTTGTAGAACGGACAGATATAGGACCGGTTGTATCCAGTAATGACTCAGTGCATATGCCTCCTCCTTGGAGCTTGGAGGGGCCCTCTCATCCTGAGGAAGAAGGAAGATTAATTAACATTTCTCTAGGCTATGAAATCCTTCCTATATGCATGGGCCCAGCAGAATTATGTATTAATGTTAGTCGACAAACGTGGGCTTTCATCCTGCCTCCAAAAAAGAACTTCCGCACCTTGTTTAGACTGTTTATTGCCCTGTCCTTTTATGAGAACCAAGTCAATAGTACCAATATTCTAGGAAAAGGACACAAGTTGGAATGTAAGAGGTTTACTTACAAGGATTTTAAATATACTCCTGTGTATTGAGATAAATCTCAAGCTAAACCACGGAAATTAATGTTTGTGGCCAATTACACCATTGTTGATTGGGGAACCCATGGTATGTGGTTGTCTAACTGCTCAGATGCTATTAACAGCACTGTATGTGATTATGCTACTCAAGTAGCACAGAAGATTACTATGATGGAACATTACCATGACAAAGGACTTCTTGGCTGGCTTGACGGTGGAATGGCACCCCCTCACCTCGAATCGTCCTCAATAAACGGATTGGGCCTGAACAATGGGACATCTGGAAACTTGCCATGAGCGCCAAAGAACTTGGAACTTGGACTGGCTATTTCATGGGGACCAGCCGTAGTCATAGTAGCTATTCCTTTCATTATAATCATTCGTATCTCATACAAGCTTGTGTTCCCCTTCCTTTTGTTATAGCCATAGGGAACTTACAATTTAATAAGACTTTGTGTTCTGTGGCTTGTATAGATTGCAAATTGTATACTTGTCTTAATTCTATTTCTCTAAAAATACAAATCCCTTTGGATTCTTCGATCTCGACATAGACTGTGGTTGCCAGTAGATCGCCAGCAACCCTGGAAAGACGGTCCCATGGCAAGACTTGCCTCCCAGTTACTCACTAAATTACTCCGACGATCTAAGCGATTCACTGGATGGTTTATTCTTGGCATTTTGGGATTAATAGCCATCACAGACATTGCTTTACAAACTTAAATTCAAACACAAAACTTTATTCAAAATTTGACTAAAGATGCTCATACTATATGGGTCACTCAAGTTCAGGTAGATGAAAAAGTTCAAGATAAAATTCAGGAGTTAAAAACAGCCATCCAATGGGTTGGAGATCAATTAATAGATTTACAAAAACAAGTATTATTAAATTGTGATTGGAATTCACATCAATTTTGTATCACCTCTCTTCGGTTCAACTACAGTGCTTACAAGTGGGAACAAATCGAATTTCATTTACAAGATATACATAATAATACTTCCTTAAATGTACAATTGTTGCAAAAGGAAATCCTTGAAACCTTCTCTAAGAGTCCACCCTCTTCCAACAATTTGGAAACCTTAGCTGAAAAGCTTGCTGCTCAATTATCTGGGTTAGACCCTCGAAGATGGTTTCAAGACATTACACATAGTACTGGATCTGGATCTATAATGCTGATAATTATCCTGGTGATTATATTTGTAATGTACTGATGCCTTTCAACTAAAATTGTTCAAACTAAACAAACTCAATCCATCAGGGCCTTTTTCACAAAAGTGTCTAGAGTCATCCCCAATGATGAAAAAATAAAAAAGGGGGAACTGTCAGGGACGTTCAACTTTAAGGGATCCAATATGTTATTTTCTTCTTCTGTGTGCCATTTCTCAAGGACTCTCTATTCCTTATCAGTTCCTGGAAAACAGGAATGAGCAGAGCCGCATGCAGTTCTCAGGACTGAGATCATGAGATAGGGCACCTCCTTGGATTCCTTTCAGAGACTCCCTTCAGTGAACTTTCACTTAAAGGTAATCTATTGAGTTATGCCCCTCTTACTCAGGATATGGAATGCTTTCTGGCACTTTGAAGATTATTTGCTTGGCTTTGTTTCTGCTCAATTTTTTTACTGCCTAAAGCTGCCTTGTAAGAGGATATATAAACATGTGGTTCTGCAAATAAAGCACCCTTGTTTCACTCGAGACTTGGGTCCCCTGCGTCCTCCTTCTCATCAACTCCAGTCCCCAGGTCCCGGTCTACAAGGACCGTGACAGCTCTGTCTTCAATGTCCACAGATAAGAGTAACTCTTCTTTAATCATACATACAACAGTTATTTCTATCCAATGGAGAACATGACCCTTTTCCTATGCATTGTTCCTAGCACACCATCAGTCCCTGGTCACTGTCCCTCTCCTCCTACGAAAAGCCCAGTCCTTTTAACATCTTGCCTACTCTTCTCAAGGTCAGTTGGTAGAATATTATGTTTTATAACAGGCTGGACTATGTAAAGAAGGGCTTCCTGATCCTACTGACCATGATGAGTCATGTCTTAGGTTTACATTATTTTCCACCCTCCCTGTTGCTAATTCACACACACTACTGAATTTTGTAATTCAGGCTGTGTGTTTTTCCAGGAAACAAGGATGTGAATGAATCATATCTAATGAAATCGGCCCCTTCATCTCACTGATTCCTTCCCAGAGACCATCATGAAACGTGTGTAGCAAATGCGTTTGATCAATGTATTACCAAAGCCAAGCTCTTAGAGCTCACCACACAACAGGCCAATAAACTGAGAGACTATTTGTTGGGCAAGGAATAGTGACTTTATTCAGAAAGCCAAGAGACCAAAAAGATGGTGGATTACTGTCCCAAAGAATCATCTTTGCTGAGTTAGAATTCAGGTTTCTTTTACATGAAAAGATCTATACAGCTTCTCTTCAAATATAGGCTTCCTCCAGTGGCTGAGTACCTGAACTAAAGTCATCAGAGAATACACAGAAAAAGGTAAAGGACTAGCCACAACCACTGAGTCTGGGATGCATGGCTCCACTATGTTCCTATCTTGTGACTTTGGGGTAAGATCCTTGCCACACACTTGACATTGCTGTGTGTTTTCTCCAGGATAAATACTCTGATGCTACTGGCGAGATGTGAGCTGTGAGGACAGGGTTTTTTCTTTCACATTTGTGAAACTGGTGAGGAATCTTTCCAGAATGAATTCATGTTCTACTTGACATGTTCTAACCTGACTAATAAACACATATGTATCTGGCTTCTATCCAGTATGAATTTTCCCATGAAGCCTAAGACGGTGCCACACTCATGATATTTGTATGGTTTCTCAGTAGTATGAATTCTCTGACCAACAGTAGGGTGTGAAGTTTGAACTTTGAATTCTGAAGACTTCTACCATATACCACATTCACATAAGTTTCTCTCATGTATGGATTTTCTGATGTTACTGAGTGCTGAGACCTGAGTGAAGGATTTTCCACACTCGAAACATTTGAAAGGTCTCTCTATATGTATTCTCCGATGACTTGTAAGGTGTGAATTTTGACTGAAGAACTTGCCACACTCATTACATCTGAAAGGCCTCTCTCCAGTATGAACTCTTCAACGAAGTCGAAGATGTGGTTTTTGACTGAAGACTTTTCCACACTCATCACATTTGTAAGGTTTCTCTCCAGTATGAACTGTCTGATGACTTAAAAGGATTGACTTTACACAAAAGGCCTTGCAACACTCATCACATTTGTAAGGTTTCTCTCCAGTATGAACTGTCTGATGACTTAAAAGGATTGACTTTACACCAAAGGCCTTGCAACACTCATCACTTGTAAGGTTTCTCTCCAGTATGAACTGTCTGATGCCTTAAAAGGACTGGCTTTACACGAAAGGCCTTACCACACTCATCACATTTTAAGGTTTCTCTCCAGTATGAACTCTCTGATGACTTAAAAGGGTTGACTTCAGAGGAAAGGCCTTACCACACTCATCACATTTGTAAGGTTTCTCTGCAGCATGAAATCTCTTATGACTTATCAACTGTGAAAGCTGACTAAAGCGCTTGCCACACTCATTACACTTGTAAGGTTTTTCTCCAGTATGAACCCTCTGATGACCAGCAAGGTGTGCATTTTGGCTGAAGACTTTCTCACATATATCACATTTAAATAATTTCTTTCTTGTATGAATTTTCTGATGTCTCCTGAGGTTTGAGCTATCAGTAAAGGCCTTGCCACACTCATCACATTTGTAAGGTTTCTCTCCAGTATGAACTGTCTGATGCCTTAAAAGGATTGACTTTAGACGAAAGGCCTTGCCACACTCATCACATTTGTAAGGTTTTTCTCCAGTATGAACTGTCTGATGCCTTAAAAGGACTGACTTTACATGAAAGGCCTTGCCACACTCATCACACTTGTAAGGTTTCTCTCCAGTATGAAATCTCTTATGATTTATGAAATGTGAAGGTTGACTAAAGTGTTTGCCACACTCATTACATTTGTAAGGTTTCTCTCCAGAATGAACCCGTTGATGACGAGCAAGGTGATCATTTCGGCTAAAGACTTTGTCACATGTATCACATTTAAATAATTTCTTTCCTGTATGAATTTTCAGATGTCTCCTGAGGTGTGAGCTGTCAGTAAAGGCCCTGCCACACTCATCACATTTGTAAGGTTTCTCTCCAGTATGAACTCTCTGATGACTTAAAAGGATTGACTTTAGACAAAAGGCCTTGCCACACTCATCACATGTGTAAAGTTTCTCTCCAGTATGAACTGTCTGATGCCTTAAAAGGATTGACTTTACACAAAAGGCCTTGCCACACTCATCACATTTGTAAGGTTTCTCTCCAGTATGAACTGTCTGATGCCTTAAAAGGACTGGCTTTACACGAAAGGCCTTACCACACTCATCACATTTGTAAGGTTTCTCTCCAGTATGAACTCTCTGATGACTTAAAAGGGTTGACTTTTCACGAAAGGTCTTGCCACACTCATCACATTTGTAAGGTTTCTCTCCAGTATGAACTCTCTGATGACTTAAAAGGGCTGACTTTACACGAAAGGCCTTACCACACTCACCACATTTGTAAGGTTTCTCTCCAGTATGAACTGTCTGATGACTTAAAAGGGCTGACTTTACACGAAAGGCCTTACCACACTCATCACAATTGTAAGGTTTCTCTCCAGTATGAACTGTCTGATGACTTAGAAGGGTTGACTTCACAGGAAAGGCCTTACCACACTCATCACATTTGTAAGGTTTCTCTGCAGCATGAAATCTCTTATGACTTATCAACTGTGAAAGCTGACTAAAGTGCTTGTCACACTCATTACATTTGTAAGGTTTTTCTCCAGTATGAACCCTCTGATGACCAGCAAGGTGTGCATTTTGGCTGAAGATTTTCTCACATATATCACATTTCAGTAATTTCTTTCTTGTATGAATTTTCTGATGTCTCCTGAGGTTTGAGATATCAGTAAAGGCCTTGCCACACTCATCACATTTGTAAGGTTTCTCTCCAGTATGAACTGTCTGATGCCTTAAAAGGACTGACTTTAGACGAAAGGCCTTGCCACACTCATCACATTTGTAAGGTTTTTCTCCAGTATGAAATCTCTTATGACTTCTGAACTGTGAAGAGTGACTAAAGTGCTTGCTGCACTCATTACATTTGTAAGGTTTCTCTCCAGTATGACCCCTCTGATGAACAGCAAAGTATGTATTTTGACTGAAGACTTTGTGACAGATTTCACATTTAAATAGTTTCTCTCCTGTATGAATTTTCTGATGTCTCCTGAGGTGTGAGCTATCAGTAAAGGTTTTGCCACACTCATTATATTTGTAACATGTCACTTCAGAATGAATTTTCAAATGACGTGCAAGCTGTGAACTTTGATCAAACAATTTGTCACAGACTTGACGTTTATGTAATTTCTCTCTTGTATGGATGGCCTGATGTTTAATGAGGTATGAGCCCTTAAGATAGGCTTTCCCACACTCATCACATTTGTAAGGTTTTTCCCTGTGTGCTTTGAGGTCTTGTGTTATTATTGAAAGATTGCTAAAATCATTCCCATATATATTAGAAACACTGGTTTGGACACAAGGAGGAATTCTCTGAAGTGGTGAAAATGAGAAACTGTTGTTGACAGACCTCTCAACTTCATTATATTCAGAAATTGTCCTGCCAGTTTGAAATATCTGCAGTTTTTCCTGAAAGTTAAACCAAAGCCTGTTTCCAAAGGGCTTGATTCCTACATCCTTTCTATCATGTGAATCTCTTCCATCAGGCACATTTCCATCAAGGCTTACAGGTGTTCCTTTCTGATTTCTTTTGTCATCTCTCCCCTGACACTGAAAGTCACACATATTTTCCTGACTTTTCAAAAGATGAAAATGTTTGATTTCACAGCTTTCAGATCTTCCCAGCATCCATGTTTGGAATGGTTCTCGTTTATCACTGTTCGCTTTGGGTTGTAAATGCTTGATCACATGTGTAGGAGAGATATCTACAAGATAAAAAGAACCATAGGTACCTGCTCACAATAATTCAAAAATAAATGTTTCATGTTGAATATCTATTACACCAAAAGTAATACACCAAGTTATGAAACACCACAATGATGACCTTAAGCTTTTAGAAACACTAAAGGAATAGAATTCTTAACATGAGAAAGCATGATAACATAAATTTACCATTAAAGTAGCCTAGTTTTAAAAACCATATGCCAAACACACTCATACTGGACAATATTATGGCAACTCTCAAAAACAGAGTTAGTTTTCTACCAGGATCCCTAGGAACATATCAATCGACAGTTGTCTCAAATTGAAAAGAAAAATATTACACTATCATTGTATTATGCATACTTACTATACATAAATAAATTCTAAGCAATATATTATATATTGTAACAGTAAATAATCCAAAACCAAGCTAACCCAATTAATAATGAACTATCCATAATTTCTTGTTTACAATTGAAAACAAATGAGAAAATGAAGAAGATGACTAAAACAATTTTTTGGAAACAACAGTTTTCTAAATCTGCTATAGAACTACGTACCCAAAAAGAAAAGGTATTTTACAATGTTAACAAGTAGTATGTGTCAGCTGTATTGCAGAATACACGCTAAAAGACCATCATCTGTAAATGACATAAATTGAGACGTAAAATATTCACCAGTTTTCTAACAGCCAAGAACCAAAGCAATCCTACCTATGTTGTTGTTCAGTCGCTCAGTTGTGTTTGACTCTTTGCGACCCCGTGGACTGTAGCCCACAGGACTCCTCTGTCCATGGGATTTCCCAGGGAAGAATAATGGAGTGGGTTGCCATTTCCTTCTCCATGGGATCTTCCTGACTCAGGGATCAAACCTGCATCTTCTGCATTAGCAGGTGAATTCTTGGCCACTGAGTCACCAAGGAAGGCTAATCCCTAGCCGTGCACTATTCTTAATTACCTGGTTTAATGGCACCAAAGTATAATAAATAAAAAGTGAGTGCTTTGTGTGCTTATTGACTAGGGTCAGACACAGTATTGCTGAAAAATGTAGCAAGTGAAAAGCATACAAGATATAATGGAATTGAGGTTTGACAGAAAACAAAATTCTATAAGCAATCATCTTTCAGTTAAAAAATAAATAAAATTTAATGTAGATAAAGTCATATATATCATCAAGAACATGACAGAATGTAGATATTACCTTTCTTAAACAAAAGTAAATGTTGAGTATTTACTATAAAACATGCACTAGTGTAAGCCAACTGACAGTACTCATTTGCTTTAAAAGGCTTCAGGTAAATTAACATGTTTTTCTCTAATCAGAGCAGGAGACATATCCAACTGGCCCACAAAGTGGTAAGAGAACCAGGATGTGAATCTGAACCTACAGACTGAGAAAAATTATTTGTAAACACGACCACCCACCGAATAAGTAGATTAGAAAATATTAGAAAAAAGAAATACGAGGAACTTAGAAAATATCAAGGAAGATACAAGACAGAAGTAGTCTCTTTAACTCTTATTCAACCATCCCATCTCGAAATGGTTTGTGAGTCATCATGGATGCACAGAGTAATTGAGAAACTTGTTCAATAAACGACCAGAGATTATCTCTACAGTGAGAGCATGTAGAAGGTGGAGGGATGTGGTAGGTAAGAACAATGTTTCCATCCGTATCAAGCTACTATGTGAGGAATGGTCAGGACTAACAAAGGGCCTGTGTGGAGCATAGGGTACACAGGCTGATGTCAGATATCAGCTTGGGACTGCATGACTTTGTGAAAATAACTGAGAGCGCAAACTAATATACTGACCTGAAAAGAAAAGAACTGGTTCAGCAAGTTTATGGGCATTATACTATGGGTATGGGACAGAAACAGGAGAGATTTTAAAAGTGACTATGTGGTGATATATGATATCACGATATATGTGGTGATATATGTGGTGATATATGTGGTGATATATGGAGAAAGCAAGATAATACCTGTTATACTATTTACAATGTAATGTATCCAACTGTGAATTTTGTACATTATAATGGAATGCTTATATTCAAGAAAAACATACACAATATTCCAGGATATTGTATAAGAATCTTATTAGCAGAAATCAGAAGGAAAATCCAGGAAAAGCCTATCTAAACCTGGGTTCCTCTGCCAAGTATGACAAACCTCTCTATTGGACATTCATTTCGTTTCTTCTTCCACACATGTTCATCTCAAGATCGAGGAGTATCAAAGAAAAGGAGGAATTGAAATTGACTCTGGAGGACCATCCCAGTCACAAAAGCCTTTCTGAGGCTTCCAACTCCTTTTTGTAGAAAAAGGCTTTATTCTTCTAGACCTTCCCTGAGTTCCAAAGCGCAGATTCAAACAGTTACTAATACACAAAAGGATCATAAACCATGATCCAGTGGGATTTATTGCAGGGATGCAAAATTTCTCAATATCCACAAGTTATTCAGTATGATACACCACATTACAGTTGAAGACTAAAAACCATATGATCATCAGTAGATGCAGTAAAGGTTCTGACAAAATTCAAGTGCCATTTATGATAAAAACCCTTCAGAAAGTCAGCACAGATGGACCCTACCTCAATATAATTAAGACTGTATATGTCAAACACACAGCTAACATCATACTCAACAGGGAAAAACTGAAATCATTCCCCTTAACACCATGAATAAGACAAGAATGTTCACTATTGCCACCTCTATTGAACATATTTTTGGAAGTCCTAGCCACAACAATCAGAAAAGAAAAAGAAATAAAAGGAACTTAAGTTAAAAAAAATAAAGAAGTAAAACTGTCACTATGATGCTACACACAGAAAATCCCGAAGATGCCCCCAGATGACTACTAGACCTCATTATGAACAGAGTAAACTTGCTGGATACAAAATATATAGAAAACTGCCTCATTTCTATACAGTAATAATAATATATCAGAAAGTGAAATTAATGAAACACAGTCTCCAATGCCAGAAAATAACCTGGAAAAATGCATCAGGCCCTCGTGATACTTTCTCTCTCATAATCCTAGAACATACTGACCACTCTACTGGATAGCTTCAAGTGGTGACTTTGAACGGAGCAAGAAAATAACATTAAGAATAGTGTCTCCATTAGAGTTTTCTGTTACCTAGTAAATCCACTCCACAGAGACTCACCAGAGGCTGCCAATTAAACATAGGTGGATTATCACAGCAAGGAAACCTGATAAAATTGCAGATCCTCAGGAATATATTTCAAAGAAATTTAAGAAGTAAAATGTTACAAAGTAAGGAGAATGTAACACTGGGAACAGTTGACATTCCCAGACTGGGTAGAGCAGCACAAGAGTAAAAATAATACAACACAAAGGTCAGACATTACACGATCTTGAGATGCAACCATGCGCACGACCTACAGACAGCAAGCTAAGAGCCCGCGAGATTCACATATGCTCCCCTTGTAGGATCTAGGATCAAAAAGATGATCTCTCTACCCACTCTCCTTACATCTTCCTAAGTAACAACCACAGAGGATCCAATCCACCAGCTTGTCCCACTCCTAACCAGAAAAAAAACAGCCCTTTTGAGATACTCGTTTTTCTTTATATGTTGTATCTTTGGCTATTTTTACATCACTCCCCATTGTCTAGAGCTTTCTCTCGTGCTCCAATGTGGAGATACTATTCAGATCAGAAACAGAAATTCTGGGACTCCCCTGGTGATCCAGTGGTTAAGATGCTGCACTTCCAATGCAGGGGGTTCAGGTGTGAATCTTAGAGAGCTAAGATCCCATATGCAGAATGGTCTAACCAAAAAAAAGTAAACAAGCAAGCAAAAACAAACAAAAAGAAATAGATACTCAGGATTATCAGAAGAAAGAAATCTAAAGTGCTGTGGATTTTTTTAAACACTGAGTCAAAAGTCAAAAGGTAGAAAATAGGAAATCGGGTTTCTTGGTGTTTTTCTTTTAACGTTTGCCAGTGAGCTTTGGACATAATTAAGCTTTTGGGACAACCTCAGATGTGACATGAGACAGACACAGCATCTGAAGCGGGTCAATTTAACCTTGTGAAGCTGTGTCATGCCAGAGTCAGCAGGACTCTCAGATGAAAGACATCAGGGCCTCCCAAGGGGCACACAGGGAAAATGCAGATACCCAACGGCAGCTCTGGAAGGAAGTCATCCTCACCCACAGACAGCAGGTTCCTGTAGGTCTCCAGCATCACATCCCTGTACAAGGCCATTTGAGCAGGATCCAGGAATTCCCACTCCTCCTGAGTGAATTCAATGGCCACATCCTCAGAGGTCAGTCGTTCCTGAAATGAAACCACATGTCACCAAAAGGGCCATGAAAAGTTCTCATTTTCATGCAAAAGAGAAAGGATAGTAAGAAGGGATAAGGGCTAAGAACTGACTGGGTTGAAGTATGTGTTCTAACAGATCCATGCAGGGGTATCTGAAGAAATTATGGATCTCTAATTTTAATTTCTTATGTTTTTTCATAAGACCTTATGAGATCCTCCAATTAATATGGACTTTTCAACACTGTTCAAAATTCATCAACTATAAATAAATAAAACTCAACACTGTATTGGCTATACAGAAGTGTCAGGTATTACGTTCGACCCAGTGAGTGTAATTCATTATCTAGATGAGGTACAGCATGAGCAGTGTCTTCAGAGATGAAGTCCACAGCACTTTTAATGGAAAGGTCAAAATTTTCAGTTATGACGTTGAGAAGAGCAGCAAGGACCCAAAGTGTTTGAAGGGTTTCTGTTGCTTTCAATTACTGCATGATTACTCTAAACATTAAACAAGTAAGTTACAGGCAAGAACCTGTCATCAATTTAACAGCTCACTGAAGAACGATCTGTTCCCACCTTACAGAAGAAAAACCGTGTCACAGACACTCTGAGAAACTCGACTCAGATCAAGAAGGTTAAGAAATGTTACACGAAGCACCTGAACTCAGAGGCTTGGGCTGAGCCACTTAAGCTTAAGCATCTAACAGTTAAGTAATACAGAGAACATTAAAAGTCCTTTGACACAGGGCTCCTGTAGAAAATTTGAAAGAAGTCCAAGGCGAGCCTCCTCCCTGCCCCTCTGTCTTCTCTGCAGGGGGAGCAGCTCTCAGGCCCCGGGCCTTCGTCCCCTGAAAATGGACGCCTGCGCCGAATTCATCTCCACCCACTCCCTGATCGGGAGAACCTCCCCTCTGCGTAGTCATCACTGTCCGCAGTGGTGAAGGACCGGAGACACTGACCGATGAGAGCCACGGCAGTGCGGCAGCCCCGGGTCCCCGGACCATCTTACTCACTCCTAGCCGCAGCTTCCAAGCCAGTGCCATTTCACGGGGCTCTGACACAGCAGCCAAGTGCCCTGGAGCCGGAGCTGCCAGAGCAGGGGAGGCTGGGTCCAGGGCTGGAGGTGGAACCGTGGGCGGGAGCGTCATCACTGTTACCCAGGAACCCTTCTCTGAAACAGCAGCTGGTCTGCACCAGGGGCTTGGCCCTCTCAAAGGCCATGGGGCTCTTTTGCCTCATGGTGCTCTAGCTCATCTTCCTCACGACGTGAAGGAGTTGCTTCCACCTTCCACAGTTCTTTCTCCTGTGTCTGCCATGTGTGTTCCCTTTCCTGTAACGCCCCAGGCAGCCTGGGGACAGTGGTGGGCTCAGGGTTTGACAGAAGGAAAGCAAATAAATATTGCATTAATGTGAAAAAAAAAAGTCCACGGTGAATAATGTGGAATGGCATGAAAGGTCATTAGAGAAATGGATATAGAAACACAACTGTTAGCAATTTACTACTTAAAACACTAACAGGATTGTTTAGAAAATTTCAAGGCCACAGACTGTAGTGATAACATAATTTCAACTAAAAAAAAAAAACATAATATGTAGCTTTTAAATCAAGATGTCTTCTGTCTAAACCACAGACTTGCACATGAATGCATACATATCTATAAAAAGTTAACTGAAAAAATAAAAAATTAAAAATTAACTGAAATGAGAGAATTTTCTCTTGACAGATTTTTTGGACAATTTTACATCATCCTTTTATTCACATGTATTTCAGCATCTTCCAGATGATAAAAATGTATACTTCGTACTCAGTTGAGTTTGTCAACAGGATTCTATACTAGCCTACCAAAAGAAAACTGGTAAAAACATTTCAAAAAAAAGAGTACTTGAACTCAATTCATAATAAAATTACCACATACAAAAATACAAATACAATTTGATCCATTTAAATTTACATAGTAAGGCATTAACAGAAGCCAAAGACTTTGTTTCCTTTTTTTTCCATTAATAAAACAGTGATTTGAAATTAGAAGAGTCATTAGATATGACAAAAAAAACTATCACAAGAGTAAAGTAAAAAAAGTTCTTGGAGAATTAAAAATCATGGCAAAAAAGAATATAGAAAAAAAATATAGTTATTAAGCAAGACTATCTCAAGAAACATCAGGATGGGAAGGAAGCATTCAATACATTCCTTCTGAAATTACAGTGGCATGAAAGGAGCTGTCCCGGGTGCCTGTCTTTCACCAGGATAGGATGCCCATGAGCAGGGGCCACTAGAAGAAGTAACAGGAGGAAAAACACAGGGCAAGAGACAGAGTTTGTCAGAGAGTTGAAACAGGCAGTACTCACTAACCTAAGGACATGGAAAGGTGAAAAGTGAAAGAATGTAAAAAGACAGTCCATCCTAAAGAGAGCAGGGGAGACTGTTATATCAGACAAAATAAACTGAAGAAAAAACAAGTGCAATGAGATAAATATTGTAGAATGATAAAATGGTCAATCTACCAAAAAGCTGTAACAAGTAAAAATATATATACATCTAACATTAGATATCTCAGACAAATGAAGCAAACATTAAGGGAAAGGAAGACAGAAAGAGTGGCACAGGAATAGTATGAGATTTCAATGCCCAGGTTGAACAAGCATGCACACATCACACGGCCCAACAAAAGCATAAAACACATACATCTCAAGGACACATAAAACATTCTCAATGAGAGACCACATGTTAGGCCAAAATTAAAATTTTAAGAGACTGATGCTATAAAAGTATCTTCCCCAACAACAATGAAATAAACACAAGAAAAAAAGAAAATTCCCCAAATGTGGCCATTAAACAACTTACTCTTACACCACAAATGGGTCTAAGACAAAAATCACATGGAAAAATTTAAATATGTGGATGAAAACGAAAAGACAACAGTACAAAATTTGTAACACACAAAGACTGTATTAAAAGAAAGTCTGAACTGTTAAATGCTTACAGTATAAAAGAGAAAAGATCTTAAATCTGAAATCTATTGCTAGACCTCTAGCAAGTAGAAAACAGAAAACAAACTAAACTCAAGTTTAGCAGAAGGAAACAGGTAAATAAGAAAGATTAAACCAGAGAAAATAGAAAGTAGAAAAATATAAAAATCAACAAACCAAGAGTTGATGTTTTGAAAAAACATTATAGGAAAACCCCCACCTAGACTAAGGAAAACAGAAAACCAGATTCAAATAACGAAAAACAGATATGAAACAGGAGTGATTACAACTGAGGTCAAAGAAAGTTTCTACAGATAAGGAAGTACTAGGACCAATAATGCCTATAAATGACAGAATACAGGAGATACTGGCAAATTCTCAGAAACATACAAAGTATTTTACTTACTAAGAAATTAAAAAATCAAGAAGTGTTGAAAGTGAAAGTGTTAGCCACTGAGTCGAGTCGGACACTTTGTGACCTCACGAACTGTAGCCCACAAGGCTCCTCTGTCCATGCAATTTCTCCAGACAACAATACTGGACTAACCAGCCATTCCTTTCTCCAGGGAATCTTCCCACCCAGGGATAGAACCTGGGTCTCCTGCACTGCAGGCAGATTCTTTATGATTCGAGTCATCAGGGAAGCCCATTGTAACTAGAGAGATTTAAAAAGTAGTCAGAAGCCTCTGAGAAAAATAGGGGACCAAATTCTAACAAACATTTACAAATAATTACCACTAATCCTGCTAATTCTATGGAGCAAGCATGATTCTAATAGTTTGCTGATTTCCCAAAGACACAAGAAAGGAAAACTGGAAACCAATGCCCCTGACGAATACTCATGCGAAACTAAAATACCTGCAAACCAACTTCAACACATATTAAAAAGATCTGGAGAAACAGACATAGAGAACAGATGGAGGGGGGAGGGGAGGAAGGAGAGCATGAGATGTATGGAAAGAGTAACTTGGAAACTTACATTACCATATGTAAAGTAGAGAGCCAATGCGCATTTGCTGAATGACTCAGGGAGCTCAAACAGGGGCTCTCTAACAACCTACAGGGGTGGGATAGGGAGGAAGATGGGAGGGAGGGGACATATGTATACCTATGGCTGATTCATCTTGGTATTTGGCAGAAAATAACAACTTCTGTAAAGCAATTATCCTTCAATTAAAATAATTTAAATAAATAAATAAAAAGATCTGACACCCTGACCAAGTGGATTTTATTCATGTAAGGTGAGAAGTCAACATACAAAAATCAATTAATATGACACACTACATTAACATACTAAAGGGAAAAAACAAACAGGATCATCTCGATGCAGAAAAAAACCATTCGACAAAAATTTGACAACCCTTCAAGATGGAACACTAAACAAACTACAACAAATTATACCAACATCAACATAATAAATGCCATTATGAAAAGAGCACAGCAATGGGGAAAGAAGGAAAGCTTTTCCTCTGAGGTCCAGACGGCAAGGATGTACACTGCACTACAGTTTAACAAAGCACTGAAACCCTTAGAGCAATTAGATGAGAAAAAGAAATCAAAGGTCCCCAAATTGAAAACCAAGTAAATTTATCTTCTTTCCCACATGACAAAGTTTCATAGGTAAAAATCACAAAGATTACAAAAGAAACATGCTGTATCAAAAAAGATTCTTTAATAACCACACAAAGGGTCAATCAACCAATTAACTCATTATCAAAGCTGCCATGGCAATCTTTGTAGAAGCAGAATAAAACATGGTGAAAGTCACAGAACTATTCAAAGAGCAAACAGCAACACTCCTGAAGAAGGAAGATGGAGGTCTTTCCACTTCAAAACCTATTACAAGGTACTCAAGGTGATGTAGTACTGGCATAAAAAGAGACAAGTAAACCAACTGAACAGAACACAGTACTCAGAAACAATGATTTGTGTATATGTAAGGTATATTCACAAGGATGTCAAGATACACAAAAGGAAAAGGACAGTCTCAATTGATCTGATTTCCAGATTTTACCAGATACTGTGCATATTAATACCTGATT